TACAAAAATTTATTAGAATGTAAAACACCATGGTGGTTATCTCCATTGGAAGCAATGAGTGTGAAAAAGATAAATATGAGTAAAAATTGGGTTACCTATGAGAAATTGTTGGGGGGGGAATAAATGGAAAATGAAACCTTATGAGGTTCAAGACTATGTGAATGATTGGTTGTACTAACGCCAATTCAATGAAATGTATAAACAAAATTTTAAAGAAAAAGGATTTGATGATAAAAAAATCAAAATTTGAAATAGAAATATTAAACAATGAATGTAAAATAATATCTAAAAAGTATAAAATACTATTGGAATGGCATTTGAAAGATGAGGAAGTGAAATCGGTAATGATACATTGGGCAAAAGACTTTGGATATAATATATAGCTTGAAGAATGGGAAAGATTGTGGAATAAAAGGATAAAATTTACAGCCTGTAATGCTTTGAAAGAGAATATTATGATAATAATGTATAGATGGTATATTAGACCAGTGAAATTAGCTAAAATGTATAAGACAAATAATAAATATTGGCAATGTAAAGAAAAAGAAGGAACATTTTATCATATGTGGTGGGAATGTAAAAAAGTAAAGAACTTCTGGTAAATGATATATAATGAAATGAAAAAGACATTGAAATGTACAATTTTTTTAAAAAAACCAGAATCATTTTTACTTGGTCAGGACATTAATAGGCAAGATATTAAATTGTTTTTATATGCAACGACTGCGGCAAGAGTATTGTTAGCCCAGAAATGGAAACAAGAAGAAATTCCGACGAAAGAAGAATGGCAGATGAAAATAATGGACTATGCAGAATTGGACAAAATGACAGGAAGGATTCGAAACCTGTGGGGCCAGAGATTTACAGAAGATTGGAAGATTGGAGATTTACAGAAGATTGAACTATTTGAAAAGCAATTGTAACCAACAAATTGCGCTAGTAGGACTACAAGAAGTTTTGTAAGGAGGAATATATGAAGTGCTACAAAATAGATAAAGAATAGAGATATTGGTTATGAGTTTTAAATATAACAGGGAAAATAAGAAATGTATACTAAAAGATTAGATTGGAAAATTTTCAGACAGGACTGATGGAAGTCAAAAAAATTTGAATAAGATGTAAAAATATGTTTAATTACTATTGAAAATGGTATGTTTAAACACACACACACACACACACACACACACACACATATACCACCTAGATTTTTGGAGGAAGAAAACAAGAAAAAAAATATTCTGAATCTCAGAAGCCAGAACAGCAAGAGGGATCGCTGAGCAGCGAAACAGCAATCCCTCTTGCTGTTCTGGCTTCAGGGATAGTTGCACAGCCTGCATTGGCTCCATAAGACACACACACATTTCCCCTTACTTTTTAGGAGGGAAAAAGTGAGTCTTATAGAGCAAAAAATACGGTATATATATGAAGAAGCACGGGGGTAGATAGCCCAGCCAGCGGACGCTTCATTAGACAGCATAGACAATCCGCAGTCTGCTAGAACACAACATTAGTTAAGGGTGCAAGAGCAACGAATGCAGAGACATTTAACCATAGGGGGCCTCCACAGTGTCAGGTGCTGTTAGGAAAGGGGGGGCAGGGAGCCAGAGTGAGCAACTTCATTATGGAGGAATGACCAGAATTTTTTGTGTTTTACCGTGATGACTGAATAAATCATTCATAAGAACTTTCTTGTTTCCTCCTTGCCACTTGGTGCCATCGGGGGGGGGGGGGGAATCCTCAAGCCTAACATAGGGTGGTGTTATTGCTTTATACGTCTTGTTGGTATTATGATTCCCCCCCTCTCTGTTGGTGTGTAAAAAGGTAAAGGAAAGGACCCCTGGATGGTTAAGTCCGGTCAAAGGCAACTCTGGGGTTGCAGCGCTCATCTCGCTTTCAGGCAGAGGGAGCTGGTGTTTGTCCACAGACAGCTTTCTGGGTCATGTGGCCAGCATGCCTAAACCACTTCTGGTGCAAGGGAACACCACGACGGAAACCAGAGCACATGGAAATGCTGTTTACCTTCCCGCCACAGCAGTACCTATCTATCTACTTGCACTGGCGTGCTTTCGAACTGCTAGGTTGGCAGGAGCTGGGACAGTGCAATGGAAGGTCACTCCATTGCACAGATTCAAACCACTGACTTGGGCAAGCCCAAGAGGCTCAGTGGTTTAGACCACAGCGCCACCCGCGTATTTTATGAATCATAGTGTCCCGCCACAGATAATGGGTGGGATATAAATTAGAGAGATTCACAGATGTTCTGCACACATAGCAGAGCATCCCCACTGTGTTCATCATGGAGTACCCTTCAACTCATGGAGCAGACCTTGCACACATAGTGCTCACCGGAGGTGCACCATGCAGAATGAAGCCACTGGCCCTGGTGATACAGCTTCATGCAAGGACCGTAGCAACTGCTGTGCATGGGTACCCCTGGCCTGATTGGCAATCGTGCCAGTCAGCAATTTGAGCTGGGAAAATCAGAAAGGTGACCTGCACCACTCAGCTCCTCCACTTCAACAAATTATCTTTTTTTAAAAAAAAGATATTTATTGAAAATTTTAAAGACACAAATAAAGACAAAAAACAACCATACAAAAATAACAAACACTTATAAAAACACACATTAATTTTCAATAACATAACTTCCATACCCTTATTTCCTCAGACCTCCTCATACTTCCCTTCTTTGTATTCCAGTTCAATTTGTTAATTCAGCAAATCCTTACCATTAAACTTTTACCCATTTATAATCCTTTTTTCATGTCTCTTAAAATATTACCGCTGGAAACCACTTAAATTCTATCCAACATCCTTCTAACATTTAGGAATTTGACAATATTTCTTTAAATAATCTTTAAATTTCTTCCAGTCTTCTTTCACCAATTCTTCTCCCTGGTCTCAGATTCTGCCAGTCATTTCAGCCAATTCCATATAGTCGATCACCTTCATCTGCCATTCTTCCAGAGTGGGTAGATCTTGTGTCTTCCAATACTTAGCAATGAGTATTCTTGCTGCTGTTGTAGCATACATAAAGAAAGTTCTATCCTTCTTTGGCACCAATTGGCTGACAATGCCTAGTAGAAAGGCCTCTGGTTTCTTCAAGAAGGTATATTTAAATACCTTTTTCAATTCATTATATATCATTTCCCAGTGAAAGAATGTACCTTCAATTTCCTTACATTTCCAACATTTATTATCGGGCAAATGATAGATTTTTGCAAGCTTGACTGGGGTCATGTACCACCTATACACTTCACTTCAACAAATTATCTGTCCTCTTGCTCATTAGCTGAACAGGCCCATGCATGTCTGGTCTTGGCAGCTGGACAAGGTCAGGAACTGTTTGTACACTGTCATTTTTCTTTAAACAGCTATAATCACAGTGCAGAACAATAGCAGTTACTGTCTAATCTGACGCTTGAAGGACCACTTCACAAATGACATTTTATGGGTGTTCACCTTTCTTTAAGTATATACCTAAAAATGTAAAGTGTGATTACAACAAATACAGTGGTACCTCGTGTTAAGAACTTAAATTCGTTCTGGAGGTCTGTTTTTAACCTGAAACTGTTCTTAACCTGAAGCACCACTTTAGCTAATGGGGCCTCCCGCTGCCACCGCGCCACCGCCACACAATTTCTGTTCTCATCCTGAAGCAAAGTTCTTAACCCAAGGTACTATTTCTGGGTTAGTGGAGTCTGTAACCTGAAGCGTATGTAACCTGAAGCGTCTGTAACCTGAGGTACCACTGTACATGTTTGCAAACATGCAGACTGTACAGAAACACTTTCCATGGAGGTTCCACTGTCTGTAACTTCTTGTGGAGTATACAGTCCATGGAAAACCCAGGTTTGCCTTTGCACCAGGTGGTTCGAAGGGGACCATCGCCCGAAAAGGAGGAGGAATGCGGCCAAGCTATTTGCGTGAACATTTGTATGTCAGTGTCAAGTGTCAAGTTCCCCCCAAGCATTTTAATTAACGTTCCTTGTTCCCCTGTTCTTCAGCAGGGGGTAAATTACCTGTTTACAGTACTTCAAAGTGTCATTGTAAACATTAATTCATATTTACTTCATATATTGAAGGTGCAAAGTGTCAAAAGAAATATATTATTATAATAATTAACATGTGTCACTTAAAAAAAGGCATTTGCAGAGCATCGGTCACAGAGCACACATTCATTCATATCCATCTGCATTCATCTTTCTCTCCACAGCTACTCCTTCATCTATTGAAATCCTTGTCATACATGGGCCAGTCCCCCCTCCTACATAAAGAGCATGTCAGGTGAGACATGTTCATCAACCCAACAGAGACAAATTAATGACGAGCGCAGGTGGCAGTGGTGCCAGCTTGAATAAAATATGGGGGGGGGGAGGTAAGCCCCACCCCACATAATTGATCACACACACTATTTGAATGCCAATGCCCTTCAACTTTGGGGGGGGCACCTCCTTCAAATATTTTATGGGAGGCATAGTAGTTGGCTTCTATGGCAGTTGGCAATTGTCACAGTCCAGTCCACCCATTTAACAATGGCGAGAACAACATCACAGATGGAAACTTGGAGATTGGCATGCAAAACCAAGGTAGGAAGAAGGAAGCATTTTAGATTCTTGCAGTGCCTTCGCCCTCAAGGAATTTCACTTGTATCATGCTAATTCTGACAAAAGAGTAGCCAATCAGTTCATAAAGGAAAACATCTTCCAAATCAAATTTTGCCAAAAGGGCATTTTAAAAAGTGTTTCCTGTGCCACACTGTTTACTGTTTGTCTAGCACTTTTTAACTTCATCCTTTAGCCTGTGGAGGTCAATGTCTTGCTGCCAGGCAAGGCAAACCCCGCAATATCCTAAATTACCACTGCAAATTTCAGAAAATCTGCCTGACTAGTCAGCTGCATATAAGGAGTAGCTCTAGGTCTTGCATCAAAGGAGCTCCTTCTGCTGCTCTCCTTCTGTGCACCCCCTTGTCCTTTTAGTCCTTCTCAGACGGAGCCAACATGATGAGCCAACAGATCTTCACCTCTTCTCCTCGAAGATGTTTTACCTCTGCCTCCTCTGGTGGAGGCAGCGGAAGGATCAGAATCAGCGAGGCATCCACCTGCCAACCTTTTGCCACCACCTGCCTGGCAGAAAGGGGAAACACCAGCAAAAGTTTCCATAACTTTGGTGGAAGACTTCAGATTTCTTGCTGTGTGGGCCAGGAGAGAAGTAACTATGGAAAGGATATGGAAGCAGGACAAGTGGTGGGCCACAGCATACTTGCAAGGGGCTTTGGACATAGAAGCACAACAAGTCCTTCTGCCAGCTGTAGAAGCGATAGGATCCGCGAGGTTTCCATTAACAAGCATCTCTTGGAACCTCTCTGCCTGGGAGTCGATCCGCATGACCATCAAGTAAAAGCACTGGAGAAGGAGCAACTAAAGGACCTCAACAATCAGTTTGCTTGCTTCATTGACAAGGTGAGATGATGATTCCATTAATAGTGATGGGGATGATCCCAGACCGAAGGGACTGCACACATGTGGCTGAACAATAAGATATTTCAAGCAGAGTTAGAGTTCTAATTAATTCTGCTGCCACATTAAGTGATATGTTTGCAGAGAGCAAATTTTGAATCATACCTGGAGACTTTGAAGGATATGGCCTGATTCACACCTGTACACTTGGCAGCAGAATGTGTGAATTGACTCAGTTGAAATGTGCTGCGTTTGTGGATGATGGTGTGCTAAGAGTTCTGTCCATGGTGTTTACATCTCTCCATAGAAGGCTTGTGTTATTGCTTGCTAGATTGCAGCATACCCAGCAGTCTTGAAATTTGGCTCCAAGGTTTCTCGGGACAAAGCTGTCCAGTGGTAAAACAAGTGCTCGCTTCGGCAGCACATATACTAAAATTGGTAAAACAAAATATTATGTAAGCACCACGCCATTTTTCAGCATAGCCACACTACAAACTCATACGGGAGGGAGGTTACTGGTTTGTTTTTGTTTTATTATGTATTTTATGTTCTCATTTTGTATTTTTATGCTGTGAACCACCCTGTGGTCTTTGAATGAAGAGTGGTATGCAAATTTAATGCTAGTTGTTGTAGTAGTAGTACAACCTCTGTGACAGCCCATTCACAGCTGGTTAGAACATGGTGTTCAGTTGGTTAGAACATGGGGCTAATAATGCCAAGGTTGCAGGTTTGATCCCCATGTGGGACAGTTGCATATTCCTCATTGCAAGGGGTTGGACTAGGTGACCCTCAGGGTCCCTTCCAACTCTACACTTCTGTGATTCTATGATCACACCCCATCATGAAGAGGATGGGTAGCTTTTCTAAGCCCACAGCTTTTCCCTTCCTGGCTAACTGTGGCTTGGGAGGGCAATTCTGATCTGGTTCAAGGCTGTAGCGGAAGCAGAAATGGGTAGACAGTATACTTTATTCAATATACAGTGGACACAGGAAAATACAGGCCTTTTTTGTGGTGGCTCCTCGCTTGTGGAATGCTCTCCCCAGGGAGGCTTGCCTGACACCTCTGTTACATTTATTTTGGCGCCAGGCCAAATAATTCCTCTTCTCCCAGAATCTATGGTCTTTTAAACAGTGGGGCAGGGGTACTGTTTTTGTTTGTTACTATGTTACAAATTTTTTGTGGGTTTTCATATTTTAAATTTCCATGTGATCCTCAGATGAAGGGCAGTATACAATTTTAACAACACCATAGCTGGGGAGAAGGGTGTGGCTGAGGTGTTTTCATGAAAAAATGGATTAGAGTACACTTAGAACCATAATGTAAGATTTCGATTATATACATGAGATATATCATTTGAGTCACTTCCATAATGGTTTTGTGGTTATATTTTGTATTTATAAACAACAACCAAGCATATATTCAGCACCTAACAGCGAATCCCGTAGCAGCAAAATGCAGCCTCATTCATGCATTTATTTGCTGTCAAAAGTTGCAACAGCTTCACGGCAACTGGCCTTTGCTTTTCTTGCTTGGATTTCAGGTCAGATCCTTGGAACAGAAGAACCAAGTGCTGGTCACCAAATGGAAGCTGCTTCAGAAACAGACGGTTCCCACCGTTCGGAAAGATCTCAAGCCTTTATGTGAAAATTTCCTCAGTAAGTTGAGAAAAAAACTGGACTGCTTATTGTGCGAGAAGCAGAAGCTCGAAAACCAGCAAAAAACAACGCACAGCATGGTTGAGGAGAACCGGTGCAAGTAAGTTAACCTCTCGAGGCGGAGCCCATGCTCACAGCCAGCTCCTTACACTTAGAGAGCCAAGAGTGGTGGCAGACCTTACATGGCCTGAACTCCACAGAACTAGGAGTGTGGTGGGGGGGAATGCTTTCATTTTGCATTTTAAGGGGAGCCTATCTAATTTGTGCACCCCAAAACAGATGAACTGGGGAGTTGTTGTTGTTGTTTAGTTGTTTAGTCGTGTCCGCCTCTTCGTGACCCCCTGGACCAGAACAAGCCAGGCACTCCTGTCTTCCACTGCCTCCCACAGTTTGGTCAAACTCATGCTGGTAGCTTCAAGAACACTATCCAACCATCTCGTCCTCCGTCGTCCCCTTCTCCTTGTGCCCTCCATCTTTCCCAACATCAGGGTCTTTTCCAGGGAGTCTTCTCTTCTCATGAGGTGGCCAAAGTACTGGAGCCTCAGCTTCAGGATCTGTCCTTCCAGTGAGCACTCAGGGCTGATTTCCTTAAGAATGGAGAGGTTTGATCTTCTTGCAGTCCATGGGACTCTCAAGAGTCTCCCCCAACACCATAATTCAAAAGCATCAATTCTTCGGCGATCAGCCTTCTTTATGGTCCAGCTGGGGAGAGGGAGGGTTAAATCCCCACTCAGCCATTAAGCTCACTGGGTGGCCCTCGGCCAGTCACTTCTTTTCAGGGTTGTTAAGGGGATTAAACAACCTAGCAGTTAGAAAGCACATCAAAGTGCAAGTAGATAAATAGATACCACTCTGGCGGGAAGGTAAACTGTGTTTCCATTCGCTGCTCTGGTTCGCCAGAAGCGGCTCAGTCATACTGGCCACATGACCTGGAAGCTGTCTGCGGACAAAAGCTGGCTCCCTCGGCCTATAGAGTGAGATGAGCGCCAACCCCAGAGTCGTTCGTGACTGGACCTAACGGTCAGGAGTACCTTTACCTTTAAGGGGATTAAATGAGAGGGAGAACTCTGAGCTACTTGGAGAAATAGTGGGACATGAATGCAATAAAACAACATAAGTAGAATGCTGCTTTCTGCCCATTCCTAGCCAGAACAAGATGTTATGGGTGAAAACAACAGCCCTGCATCTCTTATCTGTCTCCCTCCAGTCACATGAAATTAAACATGTGACACGAGGATCTTGTGATTACCTCCCACTCCCCATTACAATCCAATGGCTGCTTCCTATGAATTTGCCACATGATAACATCATGCCATTTTTTCCCAACACGGCATGGAATGTGAAGTGGGCTTCAAATATTGAAGGAACAGTGAGATCAATATTTAGTTTAGCTTACAGATAGGTAGCCGTGTTGGTCTGCCATAGTCAAAACAAAAAAATTCCTTCCAGTAGCACCTTAAAGACCAACTAAGTTAGTTCTTGGTATGAGCTTTCGTGTGCATGCACACTTCTTCAGATACACATGTGTATCTTAGTTGGTCTTTAAGGTGCTACTGGAAGGAATTTTTTAGTTTAGCTTAGTTTCTTATATCGCCTGGCTCTGTGGAAAACTTGCTTGATATTTGCTCTGATTCAGTGGTAAAATGTGGGTCTTTCCTGGGGGAAACCGTTGGGACAAGGTCTGACACAGACCTGGAAAGCCCAGACCTGTGGCACAAAAGGAAGTGAGGATGAGGTCTCAGAGCTGGGACACTGGCATAGCCCTTCAATGGATAGCACTACCTTCATGTTGTTAACAGGTGAAGGGGGCTTAAGCGTTGCTGGAAAGCAGGGGAGAGAATGGGATGTGGCATTTTCAGTTTGGGCAGCAGCCCTTAACCTGTCATTTAACATCTAAAGCATGTCAAAAACCAGGCTGAAACCTACCATGGCCTCAACCTTCCCTCTCCATAGTGCCACCTCGGGCATTTGTACTTTCGCAAGAGAGTGCAATCCTCAAACCTGTCATTGACCAAATAATTCTACTAGTCCTGTGGTGTTTTAACTAAACTTAAATGTATGTATGTTCTTTTCCCCTGAAACACTAACCTTCAAAACCGTCAAGTACAATCTTGGAAAAGATTTGTTGTCTAGATTCATGCATACCCAAATAAGTTGAGATGTATGCTACTTAGAAAGTGATATAATTTGTTCTGTTCCCAGTTTCTTCTTCTTTTCATCCTGGTTTCTACAGCACAGGATTAATGGTTCCTGTCACATTTTAATTATGTGTTGCATGAAAATGCATGTCATAAAGACTGCGTGACTGGTTGTTAGGCTTTGTTTTGGTCTGATGTCAAATTGTTTCAGGAGGGGGCAATTTTGACTGGAGGATTGGCAGAATAAGAGGTCAAAAGTGCTTAACCCTTTTCATGCCAGTCCAGCCACTAAAAATGACATCCCCAAGCTCCCCCCCCCCCATGCAGGGTTACAGACATTTTTACACTGTAGGGCTAATAAAACACTGTGGAGTTAGTAAAAGCAGCTTCGGGAAAGGGGATGTGGAAGATAAAAGAGGCCAGCAAATAATGGGATTCGATGAACTCCCCCTTTTGCTGTCCCTGCTGTTTCTTGGCTCAAAATTCCCCCATCCTGAACTGCTTTTCTTTACATCAAATGACCATTGGGACTTTGTACATGTGGTTAAGTGTAATCCATGCTTGCTTATTGTGTTTGGATAAAGTGTTTCTCTTTCCTCCACTTTCTCTCTCTCCCTCTAAAATCCTGCAAGATATGAAGAAGAGCTGAACAGACGAACAAATACAGAAAATGAGTTTGTCTTGCTCAAGCAGGTGAGTGATATAGGTAGGCCTGCACAGTAAAATGTGCATGCCAGCACAGAATGAGGAATACAGTGGGGATTTCTAGATTTACACATTTTAATTTACATAATAAAGGCAACTGGGGGCATTGAACATCAGCAAGGAACTGCAGTCAAGTCCAGGTTGTGATGAACATCTCTAGGCTCAGTCACACTTACCTTTTGTCCCATGCTTTCTAGGTACAGAGCTACACTTTCCTGATCCAAGTCCACTTTCCCCAGGAAAACCTGTTCTTTAATCTTGAATCAGAATAAAAAATGGCAATTTGGGTTTCCCACAAATTGGGGGGGGGGGAGAGAAGCATTCAGACGTGGTCCAGAAAACCACAGACCTGTGCCTAGAAAGTGCAGAGGAAAATTGGTGTGGATGAGCCCCCTGTTACATTCACACTTTCCATTTTTTAGGTGCACACATTTAAAAGAACATTATTATCAGCATTTTAAAAACATAAATGTGGGGAGAGGTCCTAAGGAGCAATTCTTAAAGCCACTGCAGTCCTCCGTTTTTTCTTGGACTCTAGCTTCCATCAGTCACAGCCAGTCAATGGTCAGGGATTATGGAAACTAGTTCTACAGCTATAGTACACAGGTTCTCCACCCTGTACTATAGGATGCTTTGGGGGCAGTTGTTTCTTGTTCCAAATTGCTGGGAGAGGTAGTAGGAGAGATGGGAATGATATAGCCTGCCATAATTCAGCATGAACACAATGTTGATACCGAAGACCGAACATTCCTATTGAACTTCAAAAATGTATCAGCGTGGAGAAATGGAGGGCCGAAAAAATGTTCATCACTTGATTTCTCATTGCCACTTGCAGCTGATGTCTTCAAGAGATGGAGATACATGTAACAAGCAGCCAGCCTCATTTCATTGGAAGAAAAGGCATTTGATAAACACAGATGTCCTAGTAAAGTACATACCTGGATAACCTCTTTCTGGCTATATCACTCCATTAAGGAACCATCAGATATCTCCATATAATCATAAATTGTATGGTCTTGTTGAAAAACATGGTGAAAGGGCTCCATTGCAATCTGGAACTCTGAAATTGCAGGGAACTCAGCCTAAGCATATAAACTTGTATGGATGGATGCATGTTACAAACATATATTTCAGTGTGTGTGGGAAAGTCTTAAATATTAATTGGTGTATAAATGCTATAAAATAAATAAATAGTGTTGGCTTTGGAATGGCACAAGAATTAAATCTCCGGTTTTCTCCCCTAGAAAGTTGATGCTGGATATGAACATCAGAAGGAACTGGAAATGAAGAAGGAGCTGCTGAAAGAGACTGTAGAATTCCTGAGAGCTTTCTTTGCAGAGGTCTGTTAAGATAAGTCACAGCATAAAAAGCTGTTGTTACCCCTCAATTCAGATATTTTAATTGTGCATCTTTGGGAAATCAGGTACCCCTCAGTCCTGGAATGTAACGCCACTGCCATTATTTTCAGTGCCAGCTGAAACAGACTTGACTCTTGTGTAGCAATGGAAAACTGCCTTATACTTAGCCAGAACCTTGGTCCACTTTGCTCTGCCTACGCTGATTGGCAGTAGCTCCTTTGGATAGTCTTTCCCAGCCTTACTTGGACAGATGCCAAGAACTGAACCATGGACCTTTTGCATGCCCAATAGTGGCCCTATCATCGAGCTATGGATCTTGATCGTTTCCTTCTATAGGCAATGCTATTCATTTCAACACAGGAGTCCTACTGGTTCCGTTGATTTTTGTTCTAAGCAATTTATGCTTTGGATCACAATGTTTAGATCTGTGTGACTATCGTTTCAGATGGAATACTGGGTGCAGGAGTTTACCCCCCCCCCACAGAGCTACAATTCCCAGCACCCTTAAAAAACTATAGTTTCCACATGTTTTTGGGAGGTGTTTTAAATGTGTAGTGTTCAACAAACTGATATGTGAATCTCATCAATTGCTCCACACAAGACACATAAGTTAGCTGTAAGCAGCCCAGAGTGGCTGGGGAAACCCAGCCAGATGGGCGGGGTATAAATAATAAAATTATTATTATATTCTTATTAATAGTTTGCTGATGCTTTCTCTACTGCTGGGCACTAAGATGTCACTCAAATTCTGTGTAACCTGCAGGAACGCACTGTGCTGGACTGTCAACTTTATGATACATCTGTGGTTGTTAGCATAGACAACAGCAGAGGCCTAGACATGGATGCCCTGATCCAGCACATTGAAAGATGGTATCAGAACATCGCACTAAGAAGCAAAGAAGAAGCTAATATCTTTTACAAGAGCCAGGTATGACCAAGAGACATGGAATGGGTTGAGATATTTATTTATTTATTCAACTTCTATACCGCTTCAGATTTTTAATAAAAACCTCAAAGTGGTGTACAGCATATTAAATCAATAAAACAATAGATGGGCAATGTTCCTCTGGCCTCATGAGGAGCCTCTTTTGTAGGGCTGGTGAGTGTGGGCCCAGCCCCCTAAGCCAGGTGGAAAGGGCCTTGCGGGGAGCAGCCTTCACCCCTCACAGCCAGGTGATGTTATTTCAGAATCTCAACATCACTCTTCTTCTTTTTAAAGGAATCTAGATAATCAGAAAATATAGGAAACCAGACCCTAGATTTTCAGCAATTCGATTTTCACATCCTTGCTTGCCAACTTCTAGCTGTCAGATTTCTCAATAAATATAAAAGCTCTGCTGTTCTATCCGTTTGTTAAAATCAGTGCAATGAAATGACTGCCAGGTCCCCATTCTGATCATTTAAAGCCATAGATTACTCTTCAGTTAATCAGATTTATTGTTTCCCCAAGCAAGTCTTAGGAGCATAATAACATAATAAAATTAACCAAAATGAAACCAGTTTCTCCTTTGGAAGTCAGCTTTACAAATCCACCACTTTTTCTCCAAACAAACCTTCACTGTGTCACTGCCACTGCCAATGACATTACTCTAAATATAACATAACACAACTTGTACCACACAAAGATATTTCATCTTAAATTAGTTGGATATATGACACCCATCCAGCTAAATATCTCTGTGGTTATTCACCATACATAGAGCTTCATATATTTATGTGTTATGACCAGGGTGATTTAACAGAGAAAATCATAAAAATACAATGAACACCAACACTCAATTTTTTAAAAAAATTGTAATCTAGACTTTCCTTGGATTTCCCATGGAAACATATACAAGATGTAAGGTTAAAACATGGATAGCTAACCCTTTTCAGCCCAAAGGTTGCATTGACTGTCAGCTACACCTCCAAGGGTATCATATCTTTGGTATGCATGGCCAATATATATAACCTTTGCAGAAACCAGACCCCTCAAAGAACTGTTTTGGCACAGTTTGCAAGCTTAGAACCAGAAAGGCCCAACAGAAAGTTACTTTGCCAGGTGAATTGCTTGGTGAATTGATAAGTGGAGGCACAGGATCTTGAAGTCTCAATCTCCATCAGGTTCCTTCTGAATAGTTTCTAATATATCATTGGATATGAACAGCTTTTGCCTAAGATGCAACCAACTATCTTGTTTTTTCAGTTTGATTGTTGTTCTAAAGCAATCTGTCCTCCTCAAACTTAAAAGATTATAATATTGTTTTAACCATCCTCATTTTAACAAGCATAAATCCTCATTCTGCTACGGGCACTCCCGGATGCGCTCCTAGTCCTAGCAAAGATATCAAAAATTTGTTTGGGGGAACTTAATGTTGTATCTCAGTCAATCCCTCATATGGAATCTGTGTACATTTTTCCTTTTTCCTTTTTCCATAAGATTTTATTGAGACTTTTCATACTACAATAAAAAGCAAACTGATCTAAACAAAACAAAAGCAAAGGAAGAAAAAGAATGCAAAGTCCTCTCTCACATGTAGATCTTAACTCTTGTCTCACACAGAAAGAGGTGAACTCTCTCAGCTCTCACCTGGCAGCTTCCCTTTCTTTCTTCCTCCAACACAGGGTCCACTCCTTGCTTTGAGCTCTTTTCATCGTTCATTCAATAGTTGCTGCATGACACCAACAATCAATGGGGTGTTTTTCAATATTTTCACCATATTGAGTGCTTTCTTTGAGATCCACACAGTCCTTGCTTATCAGAATACATTCCTAGCATTCCTCTCTCACGAGGCAGCCACGAAGTTTCACATTACAATCAACACATTCACCAGCGAGGTGAAGGATCAAAACCAGAACAAAATAAAATGAAAATTTCTCAGAGTTGGAACACCTCTTAGCTGTTTAGAAACTTTCCTAGGTATGCATGGTTGAAGCACATTTTTTGTTTTATTTTAATTTCAGCCCATTATGTGGGCATTTTTTTCAAAGAACTCAGTATTCACAGGAACTCTGTTGAGGAAGGTGGTCCTAGTCTGGTAGCTGAAGATTGTGGCATAGTTTTTATATAGTCCCTGGGGGCCAGGGGCACCTCAGGCCTGGGTGTCAAATGCGGCTCTCTAAGCCCCTCTGTTTAGCCCTCTCCCCAGTCCATGCCTCACATTGACCCTGCTTCACTGCCTCCTCAAGTGCTTATGTCCAGATAGAAGCATCTTTGAATTATGACAGTGCATTTTTTTTGTGTGGATAGAGGATAGAGAGGTAAGTTGATTGTAATGTCACCTATTTACAAAGGTAATTGTCATAGGCATTGCTCCACTCATTTTTGCCTCTGGCCCCTGGGAGATTATCCACAAAGGACTGTGACCCTCTGGTTAACAAGGGTCGCCCCCCCCGACATAGCCAATGAGGGGGGAGCCATCACTGCTTCTCTCCCAATATTTAAGCATGAAGTTGTACCTCTGCTCTTCTGCCTTCTCTCTGAATATTAGATTGAGGATCTCCAGAACAAACGATACAAGTTCCATGCAAACCTGGAAAAAAACAACAATGAAATTACTGAGCTAAAACGGGTGATACAGATAATGCAGATCCAGACAGATAATGAGAAGAAGAAGGTAAGGAAGCTCTTGTGTTCCCTGGTCCAAGTCAGCCCTGGTTTGGTGGGAGTGTCAGACCTTAAGGCCTGCCTTCACAAACTGAAGGACACAACTTACTGGCTTTTCTATGGTACCACTAATGGTTTGTAACCATATGCTATTTAAAGGTGTTTTTGAAATTTGTATTTCCTGAAAAAGAAACATGGGACACATTCATAACGCTCATTACAAATGTGAGAGATGTATTACAGTCCCATAAATTCTTCTCTGGCTCAGGTTTTAATCTGAGCTGGAGAAGAATTCAACTCCTTTCCCACTCCATGCACCCAGCCCCTAACCCCTGTCTGACATGCATAGTCTTCCAAGAAGCAACTCTAGGCAGGGGAATAGGGAGAAGACCTTTGCTGCTGCCTTTGCTACCCGATTCAGCAGCCAGGTAAGCAGGTGAAAGGAGAGAGAAAGGAGGTTTGGAAGTCTATAGGTGGGTAGGTGGGTGAGTGGGAAGAAGAGTTATGGTGGGTGAGCAGCAGCTTCAAAACTCACAGGAATGCAGAAATCCCTGATCAGAGTCTTAGTGGGGTCCTTATTAATTCAGATTAGCTCCACCTGACCACTGGCAGTGCTGGTTGAGGCTAATGGGAGTTTGTAATCCAACATATCTGAAGGGCGTTGGGTTAGGGAGCTAGGATATTTCCCAGTTTCCAGTTTCGGGCAGAAATCACTTAGCTTGTTTCAAGCCAAACCAAATGAGACCGGGAGAACATTTCTATCACTAATTCAGTTAGTCCCTGAGCTGAAACAACCAGAGATGATTATTAGGAGTCACTTTTGTCCCCATTAAAAGGACTCACCTATCAGGTGATTTTTGCATCACTTTGCATGACCTGAAGGTGCATCCTACCCAACACTCCTCTCTAGGGAGTTCAACAACTGGGGCAGGCAGGTTATCTTTCTGGGGAAGCTCTCCTCCCTTAGTGATCTTGCTGTTGAAGAGCCTGTGATAAGATCCTAGGAAATTCCTGGTTGCCCAGAATTGCTGTTGGAGTGGGAAGGCGGAAAGGGACTGACTCCAATATGGAGTAATATTGATGTTACATTTGGACAATGTTCTCCCATATTTTGCAGGTTGCTTCTCTCCAGGCAGCCATTGGTGACACTGAAAAACAAGGTGACCATTCTCTTAAAGATGCCCAGGAAAAGGAACAAGAGCTCCAGAATCGCCTGCAGGATTCCAAGGACAAATTGGCTGGCCTCTTGAGGGATTATCATGAACTCATGAATACCAAACTGGCCCTTGATATTGAGATTGCTGCATACAAGACATTACTGGAAGGAGAAGAGAACAGGTGAATGCAATATACGGCATCTCTAGATAGTAAGGATTCTGTTTGTATTTCCAAGTTTTGGAGCCTGGATTGGAGCAATTCACCTACACATGCCATACCCTCCAACATTTTCAAGCCAAAATCCAGGGCACCATATTCCTGGTTTTTATCGCGAGAGCAGGGCAGCAATTTTGGTTGCCATGATATTGCGTGTGTGTCCCCCCCCCCGAAGCATTTTTTTTCCAGGCATGGCACCCAAAAACATCCATTTGGGGGCACTGCACAAGACCACTGTCCAAAAAAGTCCTTTCTTGGGGGGAAATCACATCGTGAAATTGCACTGAATACTAAGTATATAAATACCAAGTTCTCTTATTAATAATTTAGTAAAGGTAAAGGGACCCCTGACCATTAGGTCCAGTCGTGGCCAACTCTGGGGTTGCGGCGCTCATCTCGCTTTATTGGCCAAGGGAGCCGGTGTATAGCTTCCGGGTCATGTGGCCAGCATGACTAAGCCGCTTCTGGCGAACCAGAGCAGCACACGGAAATGCCGTTTACCTGCCCGCTGGAGTGGTACCTATTTATCTACTTTGATGTGCTTTCAAACTGCTAGGTTGGCAGGAGCAGGGACCAAGCAACGGGAGCTCACCCCGTCGCGGGAAATTGAACTGCCGACCTTCTGATCGGCAAGTCCTAGGCTCTGTGGTTTAACCGACAGCGCCACCCGCCTAGTAGCAAATAGCTACAGCTGTGAGCAGCACTGAGATCTACAGATAAAGGGTACTATACAAATTTACCAAATACAGTGGTACCTCTGGTTGCGAACGGGATCCGTTCCAGGGCCCCGTTCACAACCTAAAAGGAATGCAACCTGCGTCTGTACGTCTGTGCATGTGTGGGTTGCGATTCACCGCTTCCGCGCATGTGCGTGATGTCATTTTGCGCGTCTGTGCATGCACGAGCAGCGAAACCCGGAGGTAACCCTTTCCGGTAGTTCCGGGTTGCCGCGGGACGCAACCTGAAAAGACGTAACCTGAACCGAACGTAACAGGAGGTATGACTGTAGTAATAATAAACAAGTCATTGAAACATTGCAAATGGGTCATTGGCAACAGATTTTCCTTTAAAAACGATGGGATTTCCCCTGGAAAGCATAAATTCAGATTGGATTGTGCAGGGCAGGGGTTGGCATTTTGATGATAACATTTTTCACAGATGCCAAAAAAAGCACCCATCCCATAATAAGCACTCTTCTGTTAGCACCCTCAGTTTAATAAATAATAACCAACCTGTATTATTTTTCTTCTCCCCGCCGCCCGGCCCGTCTCTAAAAGAATATGTTCTGGAGCACCTGTGAGTCTGGGTAAGGACCCCAAGGATTCTTACTTTCTTCTGTAGTCTGTAAGATTTCGTTCACTAAATTAACAGCCTCTGATGTCTCTGACATGCTGTAAGACTTATTCACTGAATATATCATTCTCTTGCAGCTGTGATGAACACTTCTTGTGCAGTCCACAAGACAGTCCATGGTGTGAAAAAGTAGACTGAAATGGAAGCAAACATTGGATGCACTTAGGGAATTTTAGTGTGCTGTTGTTTGCAGGATTGGCAATGAAACGTCAAAAGAAAATCTACATATAACCCACGTGATTTCTAGGGATGTTTTGTCTTTCAACAGTACGTGTGCAGATTAAAGCAGAAATGAATTGGGGTTTTGCCATAAAATTAATCACAGGAGATAATGGCTGTGTTATGATAAACCATGATGAAAACAAGTCTAGCCTAGCCTTTACTTCTCTTGTTATTAACTGTGCATTAATAGTATCATCCCAACCCAACAAAGTGTGCGTGATCTTAGCTACAGTTAGTTTGAAACTAGTTAATGTCAAGCCATAGTTTATGAAACCCGCTTGTTTACACTAACTAGTTGAGATTAACCACACTTTTAAGCTTGGGCCTGTGGTGAATTGAAAATTATGACTATGATGGTGATTAATAATAATTGAATTTATATCCTGACTGCCCACCCCAAGGAGCCCAGAGTGGCAGATTTAAAACATAAAAGCAAAAACAACATTATAAAACAAATTGAAAGAGTCTAAAAAACAATTTAAATTAATTAAAAGCAGTTGTAGTTGAAAACATTGTACAGTGGTGTCCCGCAAGACGAATGCCTCGCAAGACGAAAAACTCGCTAGACGAAAGGGTTTTCCGTTTTTTGAGTCGTTCCACAAGACAAATTTCCCTATGGGCTTGCTTCGCAAGATGAAACGTCTTGCGAGTTCTTGCGAGTTTGTTTTCTTTTCCTTAAAGCCGCTAAGCCGCTAAGCCGTTAATAGCCGCTAAGCCGTTAATAGCCGCTAAGCCGCTAAGCCGCTAAGCCGCTAATAGCCGCTAAGCCGCTAAGCCGTTAATAGCCGCTAAGCCACTAAGCCACTAATAGCCGCTAAGCCGCTAATAGCCGTGCTTCGCAAGACGAAAAAACCGCAAGACGAAGAGACTCGCGGAACGGATTAATTTCGTCTTGCGAGACACCACTGTAAAAATAATTACTATTAAAAAATAATAATAGGGAGATTCCCAAAGCTGTAGTCACAGTGGGGTCACATGTAGAAATGAAGATATATAAATGTGACAGGAGGCTGATTTAGCCATTCTGCATCTTTGATGCCTGCTTCCTCCTATAATAGACAAAGTTCCTTTTCACATATTCAGCTGGTGTGTGGATGCAGGCACTGCAAAATAGCATGGCTGAGGAAAGACACACACACAGGTAGCCTTCATTGTGAGCTGGGCTCTCCACATGACCAGCCAGACACGCATGGGCTGGTTTAGGTGATTTCTGGCTTTCAAATACGTGGAGGAAAGGATCATTTTCAGGATGTGTACATATGCACCCATTTCCACAATCACATTAACATGCCCGGCATCTGTATCTTAGATCTGCTTAAGCAGATTAAACAAATTAAGGAAGAGATATAAACCGCAATGCATCTCATTCTGGTCTGGCAGAGATTGCATACATGCCAAGCTCTTCTGTCCTCTGATGACTTACATGTTGTTTAATTCCCAAAGACAAAATGAAATCTTGGCTTTGTTTAAATGAGTGCAAGTTTCCCACTGGCTAAGCAGGAGAAAAAATGGAATTGAGGGAGGGGGGATTGGAATAGAATTTATTGCACCATAATATATGCAAGTTAGAGAAATGTGGACTTAAGAATATACTGTAGAGTTGTCCGAGTTAAATATAATCCTCTCTTTTAAAATCATGTGTCTCTGTGTGTCAGTTTGCCTCCATTACGAAGGGGCCAGCTACTCTCTTCTCCCAATTCAGGGATGGGGACCCTGTAGCCCCCAAATGGTTTTCACCTCCAACTTCCATCAGCCCCTATAAGCAACATCTGGAAGGCCATAGATTTCCCAGTGCCAGATTACCAAATAGGCAGTGTAAGCACCAGCCTATGGGCTCCATGCCTTTTTAGGGGGCCTGCAATAGCGGATCAATATATATTGTGTAATCAAATTTGTTTATTGAAATTGTTGGTTGGTAAAATCAAAAACTTATTAGAAGATAATTTCCGAGGGACTCCCTGAGATTTTGACTGCCTAAGGGCCTCCACCCCTAGGGTTTAATCTGGCAGTGAGGTTTCCCATCTCTGCCTTAACAGCTGGTTTATGATACTCCAGGCACTCGGGTTTTTCCTACTGAATACAGTGGTACCTCGGGTTAAGAACTTAATTCGTTCCGGAGGTCCGTTCTTAACCTGAAACTGTTCTTAACCTGAGATACCATTTTAGCTAATGGGGCCTCCCGCTGCTGCTGCTGCATGATTTCTGTTCTCATCCTGAAGCAAAGTACTTAACCCGAGGTACTATTTCTGGGTTAGCGGCATCTGTAACCTGAAGCGTCTGTAACCAGAGGTACCACTGTACAGCCAAGGCTATTGTAAAAAAAAAAAAAGTAAATAAAATCTTCTGTCAGGAGATGGCAAAATCTGAGATCACTAAGTTGCATTCAATGCTAAGGAAGCAGTGAGGGTCTCTGAGTTCTAGTCTAGTAACAGCTGCTTCTTGCAGCCTGTCTCTTGTAACTAAAAAAGAGTAAATGCCCAAATGGTATCAGTATCCTGATCTGTTACCAGGGCCAGATTTAGGTCTGATGAGGCCCTAGGCTACTGAAGGTAATGGGGCCCTTTATATGTCCAGCTGTCCTTTGTCAACAACAAATTGCCGCTGTTTTTTGTGTTGAATATATGCTATGTGGTAATTTATGGACCTAATAGGTCTCTAAAGCCATTTGCACATGTTGCCATGTAACCAGTCCATGCAGAATGTAGGCACCCTATATATAGAAATGAGTAAACCAGTGGTATTTTAGGCTAGCAGGCAGGGCCCATTACTTACATCATAGGTGCCTAAAAGGTAAAGGTAAAGGACCCCTGAAAGTTAAGTCCAGTCATGAACGACTGGGGTTGCGGTGCTCATCTCGCTTTACTGGCCGAGGGATTTGATGTTTGTCTGCAGACAGTTTTTCTGGGTCATGTGACCAGCATGACTAAGCCACTTCTGACGAAACCAGAGCAGCGCACGGAAATGCCATTTACCTTCCCGTCGGAGTGGTACCTATTTATCTACTTGCAATTTGATGTGCTTTCAAACTGCTAGGTTGGCAGGAGCTGAGACCAAATAACGGGAGCTCACCCCATCGTGGGGATTCGAACCGCCGACCTTCCAATCGGCAAGCCCAAGGCTCAGTGGTTTAGACCACAGCGCCCACAAAACATTATTGCTGTATGTAGGTGGGGGGGGGGTTATCTTATATTTTAGAAATGTACATCTAGTTTTTTTCTTTAATTTTTTTGGGGCCCCCAAGAGAGTAAGGCACTAAGCTATAGCTTGTTTAGCTTATATGTAAATCCGGCATTGTCTGTTACACTTCCTGGACATTTAGAAATGGACTCACAGCTGTCCATGGAGGCACAGGTTAAATCCGTGTCCAGGGCAGCTGTGTACCAGCTCCATCTGGTACGCAGGCTGAGACCCTATCTGCCTGCGGACTGCCTCGCCAGAGTGGTGCATGCTCTGGTTATCTCCTGCTTGGACTACTGCAATGCGCTCTACATGGGGCTACCTTTGAAGGTGACCCGGAAACTACAACTAATCCAGAACACAGCAGCCAGACTGTTGACTGGGACCGGCCGCCGAGACCATATGAAAGACCTACATTGGCTCCCAGTACGTTTCCGAGCACAATTCAAAGTGTTGGTGCTGACCTTTAAAGCCCTAAACGGCCTCGGTCCAGTATACCTGAAGGAGCGTCTCCACCCCCATCGTTCTACCCGGACACTGAGGTTCAGCACCGAGGGCCTTCTGGCGGTTCCCTCACTGCGAGAAGCCAAGTTACAGGGAACCAGGCAGAGGGCCTTCTCAGTAGTGGCGCCCTCCCTGTGGAACGCCCTCCCACCAGATGTCAAAGAGAACAACAACTACCAGACTTTTAGAAGACATCTGAAGGCAGCCCTGTTTAGGGAAGCTTTTAATGTTTGATGTATCACAGTATTTTAATATTCTTTTGGAAGCCGCCCAGAGTGGCTGGAGAGGCCCAGCCAGATGGGCGGGGTATAAATAATAAATTATTATTATTATATCATATTATTATTAGAAATGCTAGTCCTTATTGAGTGTGGGTTCTTTTAGTTGATGGCCATGATCTCTGGAACTGGAAACACATGTGCTTTGCCACTGGTCCAAATGTCAACGAATGAACAAAGCAAAGGATGGCGCAGTGACCACAATGCCCTAAAGGTAATGCCATTTTGCTGTTGTGTGCAGAATCTCTTCACAGCATGGTAATGGTGCAAAGCTGTATCCTCACACCAAACTCTGGAGTTGCCACCAAAATGAATGAAGTCTTCAGAAACTCCCACTGGGTCTAAGGGCCAATTCATATACACAGCATAAGTGCATACATGATCCGTGTGGTTATGGAGTGCAGGAAGGAGACGCCTTCCGCACCACAAGTATAACCGGCAATGAGAAGCAGGGTGGATGTGCATTTGGGCTCTGGTGCTCCTGACAGGTTATATTATGTGGGATAATATGGCTTGGGATTAATGATGTGGCTAAGCCAGGAACGAAGCAGCTGCCAAATGGAAACTGGTGTCAAAGCAGCAGCAAAACTGAGGATGGGGGCAATGACTTGGAGACTGGAGAGGAAATGTGAATACTGGTATAGTGGTACCTCGGGTTACATACGCTTCAGGTTACATACACTTCAGGTTACAGACTCCGCTAACCCAGAAATAGTACCTCGGGTTAAGAACTTTGCTTCAGGACAAGAACAGAAATTGTGCTCCGGCGGCGTGGAGGCAGTGGGAGGCCCCATTAGCTAAAGTGGTGCTTCAGGTTAAGAACAGTTCCAGGTTAAGAACGGACCTCCAGAACGAATTAAGTACTTAACCCGAGGTACCACTGTACAATTATAGTATGTAAAAACATGTACAGCTAGAACATTTTTGAGTGATGGGGAGAAATCCCACTAGCGTATCTGGGAACTCTGCTAGTGTGCCCACCAATCGGAAGTAGTACTGGTGACAATGCCCCCCCCAAGGCGGGCAATGAATCCACAACAAAAGGGACATATACCTCTGTGACCACATACCCAACCAGAGTGCCCCCCATTCCATCAGACCCGCTGGCACAGCCACCACTGTCAGTCTCCAGGCATTCCAAATGTCAGCAGTTCAATACGCCTTCTGTCACTCACAAGTACCATTTTGGAGCACTGCACACAAAGAGAAGGCCCATCAGGAAAAGCACTGCATGGACCAAACAGACCTTTTGTTCCACCGACTCTTCTGGCAACTCCTGTGACCAACCCACCCTCTTGCTATTTTGTCCTAGAGACAGTCCTGCCAAGAAGTATCTAATTATTGCCGCTCACAGGACACATTCACAAATTTAAAGCACCGTTATACCACTTTGAGCAGTCATAGGAGCTGTAGTTTGTTAAGGATGAGTCTGCTATATCCGCTATTGCTGATAGTTGGACCAGTTTAATAATAATAATAATAATAATAATAATAATAATAATAATAATAAAAAATAATTTTATTTATATCCCGCCCTCCCCAGCCGGAGCCGGGCTCAGGGCGGCTAACAACAATAAAACAGTACAAAAGTACAGCATAAACAACACTCTAAAATCATTCATTATAAAATTAATTAATTCAAGCCACTGGCAACCATTGGGCCAGAGCTCCGTGAAGATTGCCGAGGGAGGGAGTCAGGCTGTGCCCTGGCCAAAGGCCTGGTGGAACAGCTCTGTCTTGCAGGCCCTGCGGAAAGATGTCAAGTCCCGCAGGGCCCTGGTCTCTTGTGACAGAGTGTTCCACCAGATCGGAGTCACAGCCGAAAAAGCCCTGGCTCTAGTTGAGGCCAGCCTAACTTCTCTGTGGCCTGGGACCTTCAAGATGTTTTTATTTGAAGACCGTAAGTTTCTCTGTGGGGCATACCAGGAGAGGCGGTCCCGTAGGTACGAGGGTCCTAGGCCGTATAGGGCTTTAAAAGTTAAAACCAGCACCTTAAACCTGATCCTGTACTCCACCGGGAGCCAGTGCAGCTGGTATAGCACCGGGTGAATGTGATCTCGCAGTGAAGACCTCGTAAGGAGCATTCTGCACCCGCTGGAGTTTCTGGGTCAGTCTCAAGGGCAGTCCCACGTAGAGCGAATTACAATAATCCAGTCTGGAGGTGAGTGTCGCGTGGATCACAGTGGCTAGGTCAGGGCGAGAGAGGTAAGGAGCCAACTGCTTAGCTTGGCGGAGATGGATTCAGCATAGCTCTTTGACCAGCCTAGCTCTGTTTCTTCCCAGCTCCAGATTAGGAGAGTGGACTGCTCTGTTAGCCCAATGCAGCTAAACAACCAAAACTCTTGTGGAACCTTACCGACCATCAAATGTTAATATGGCATAAGCTTTTCTGGGCCACATTCACACGACCCATTTAAAGCACTTAAGCAGTCATGGTGTCCCTTCAAGAGTCTTGGGAGCTGTAGGTTGTTAAGTGTGCTGAGAGTTACTAGTTCTTCATAGGGGATTGTAGCTCTGGAAGGGGAATAGGGGGCATTGGGCGGGTTCCGCCTTTGCACATTCACGTCCATCTATATGATGAAGGAAAAGGTGTGTGGCTGGCCGTGAAATTGGCTAGATCCAGGGTACGGTGCCGTACAGAAAGTGTTGGACCACAACCCTCATCATACCTGATCATGAGCCATGCTAGCAGTGGCTGATGGGAGCTGGAGTCCAACAAAATATGGAGGGCACCTTACTGGTCAGCGCTGAACTAGACTTTTGCCTCTCTCACACACAATTCCAGGCCTCAAAGTCACCGAATGGAATTGCTCAGCAGTTGATCTGGGACTGATGAAAGAATTCTAATTAGCGTATAGAATGTTACGACTTTCCCTTCACAATGAAGTATAATTAACATAAAGAATTCACCATCCGAGTTTGTTGGTAATTACCATGAGCTTAGATGTCTCACTCCAGGCTTTATTATAGTTCTAAGAAGTAGCATAAAAACGTAACTGGCATAATTGACAGTAGATCAATACAACATATAAGATCAAAGGGCATAATAAAACAGCAGCTAACAATAGCTATTTATAAAAAGTCAAATTAACTCGAGTCATTATTTACCTGACAGATGGATCCAATAACATTTGACATACTTCTGAGTAATCATGCACATTGGGTTGTGCAATACATCTTCAGTTTCTCTCTATAGAAAAATGTTTGTGATGGTAGGCAGTGTGCAGCAAATTCTATACATTAGGGGGAGCAGGGAATCATTCCTCCCCACCTCTCCCCATGAAGTTGCTGAATTATACAATGGCGGACCTTGGGGTCTCAAAAGTCAGTGGTACCCTGTGCAACGCCAAAATTTGGCGTCCTTGTCTCTCACCTTCCATGCTACGTCATAGTTACGGTGTCCCTGTGAGTCTGCCCCCAATGTGACCGAACCGATCGCACTCCCCTAAATCTGCCTCTGAAATACAGCTCCCATCATTCCTAGCAAGCACAGCCAATTCCCAGGGATGATGGGAGTGGCCAGGGGGTGCCAACTTGAATGAAATATTGGAGGGGGCAGGAAAGCCCTGCCTCACATAATCAATTATTTGACTCAGTGCACACACACCATTCGAATGACAATGCCCATCAACTCAAATATTTTATTGGGGGGGGGGCGAAGACTCCTTGACCCCTAGCAATTGACTCCTATGGGAGTGGCAGCTCTGAAATCTCTGGAATGCCAAAGGTTCCTCACACCTTCTATACATGATGATTCCAAAGTATGTCTCAGTGTGTCCAGCAGAGCTTACTCTCAAATCAGTGTGTGTAGGGCTGCAGCCATAATTAATCTAACACACACACTAATAACCAGTGATCAACAAACAGAAAACACATATGAACATATATATGCCATGGTCACATCCACAACACACACTGAAAGCACATTGAAAGCACAGGCTTTACCCCATAGAATGCTGGTAATTGTAGTGCGTTAAGCATGCTGGAAATTGTGAGATATGTGTGTGGGGGGGGGGAGATTATGAGCCACTATTTTGGGTCCATGTACCCCAGAACCATGTGTCTCATGTACCCCAGTGGTTCTCCAAGGCCTCAAATGGTCTTTTTCAGCTGTGCAAGCAGATATTTTTTTAATGAAAGATACCAGGAACTAAAGCAGTAGCATTTTGATCCACAACACGTGATACTGTTCTTCCACCAAACTGCAGATGATCCCATGGCTATCTTCATTAGTCATATTGGTTGGGCCAGTGACTTCTGCCCAGGTCAAAATTAGAAACAATCCACAACTATATCTGATTCTTGTCACCTAAGATAATTATTATTTTGACACGGAACTATGCTTTGCCCTATTTTTGTCCCTGTATTCTTTTGAATACAGCACTTTTGATATAACAGTAATGTATACAAAGGTGTTCTCTCCCATAATAAAGTAAAAAGAGCCAGAGATATTGATGTCAGACCATGAAGATCCCTTTTGGGATAACATTTTTAACTAAACTGTAATTAGAGTTAGGAGGCAGATTAATTAAACAATATCCTCTCATGACAATCTTGCAAGCCATGCATTTTTTTGTTTTGTTTTGTAATTTATTTTTGAGTTCTCTTCTGTGCCTAGCACTGTGTTTTGCTGGCGGGCATACCAACCACATGAGTCCTGATGTTACCCATGCAACCAAGCCCAGTTCCTCCAACATATAAAAGAGAGGCCAGCTCCAAGGTCTTCCATCACAGCTGCTGGGTCTCCATCTCTACGTCCTCCTCTGCAGTCGCGTCCACAACAATAAGGCAACATGAGCCGCCAGCTCTTAGTAGGCAGACAACGTGCTAGAAGCCCCTTCACCAAACTCTCCACAAGTAACTCAGTCTCCCGGTTTCATCCTGGCAGCTACAGAAGCAGAAGTATGTCTAGGATTAGTGGAAGAACAACATTCCTGTGTGGAGACTACAAGAGTGGCACTTGTGGAGCTGGTGGTCCAAGCGTGCATAGAAGATACAGCATCCATGGGGTACAGGTTGACCCGCATCTGCTGGAGCCTTTCCATGTGGACATCTGCCCTGAGATCCAGAAAGTGAGACAACAAGAGATGGAGCAGATGAAGAACCTTAACAGCCAATTTGCCGATTTCATTGATAAGGTGAGATCAGAATGGGAGGCTTTCGTTGCACCACCAGACTGTTGCCATAGCCAGTGCTGCTGGGAAGCATTCAAGTAATCTTTAGCCTGGTTCTGGTATCTGCAATAGGTGCAGCTGTTGGGTTAAGACTCCTTGTCCTTGTACAATGGTGAAACTGGTGCCATACCCCTTATTCCTGGAACAAATCTCAGGCCCCAGCCCAGCATGCAGCACCATCACTCTTTCAACACTGATGGCTGCCATCTGCCATCAATATGGTGACCACTGAGGTGCTGGAGTCCATGAGTTGCAGGATCTCTTCCAGTCTTGTGCTGTAGCATCTATAGGTGGGATGGATCATTGATAGACCTCTTCTTCCTGACACTCCTTAAAGCGTACTAGTAAAAGATCTATCATCTGAATCAAATAGCAATTATTTCCATGTGAAAGTTTTACCAAAGCTGAACAAAAAGTGATTAATTAGCTGAGTACATTTGTTATGAGCTAGTAACTTGGGTGGACTTATTTGCAAGGTTGATTTTAAGACTTGGAAAACAGTTGGCCTTAATCTTTTCTATGCCCTAAGCAAACCTTTTCTAATATATAGATTAATCCTTGTTTTGAACTCTTTGCTTCCAATATTCTCACAAAGGCCTTTCTTTTCTTAGCTAGATGCACCAATCCATTTTGCACCTTCACTAAACCACTAAATTTGCAGCCATGTTGTAATATAGATGTACCCTGTGAAACAGTATGAACAGTAAGCATTGCTGGGGAAAATCTTCTTCATATCTATTCATTTGCTTTATGTTGGATTTCAGGTGCAGTGCTTGGAACAGAAGAACCAGCTGCTTTCAACCAAATGGTCCTTCCTACAGAAACAAGCCAAACCACCCACAAAATGTCTGAAATCTCTTTTCGAGCAGTTCATTTGCAACCTGAAGAAGCAGCTGGATCATTTGCTGTGTGAGAAGGGAAAACTGGAGACTGATTGTGAGTGTTCAAAAGAGGAGGCTGAAGACTGCAAGTGCAGGTGAGTTGACCGGTTCATGGAATCAGCTGTTCTGGAATTGTGCAAAGAAAGGAAATTATGACTCTAAGAATGTAAAGGGTTTTCTGTCTCTTCTCCCTAAATTGGCTTTTGTCCTTCATAAATGGAGACTTAACAGAACTTCTCCCCTGCACACTTCTGTTTCTCTCTGGTTTTTGGAATGAATTAAGACTCTCTAGGGGAGCATCTGAATTTGCTATATATTAAGTCAGATCATACTGGTACGCAGGTGGCACTGTGGGTTAAACCACTGAGCCTAGGACTTGTCGATCAGAAGGTCGGCGGTTCGAATCCCTGCGACGGGGTGAGCTCCCGTTGCTCGGTCTCTGCTCCTGTCAACCTAGCAGTTCGAAAGCACATCAAAGTGCAAGTAGATAAATAGGTACCGCTCCGGCGGAAAGGTAAACAGCGTTTCTGTGTGCTGCTCTGGTTTGCCAGAAGCAGCTTAGTCATGCTGGCCACATGACCTGGAAGCTGTATGCCAGCTCCCTCAGCCAATAAAGCAAGATGAGCGCCGCAATCCCAGAGTCGGCCACTACTGGACCTAATGGTCAGGGGTCCCTTTACCCTTACCTAAGTCAGATCATTGATCTGTCAAACTCAGTATCTCAAAGATGTCCAGCACAGGTCTTTCCCAGTCCCTTAGATTCCCTTAACCGAAGATGGCAAGGATTGAATCCAGGATCATAGACCAGGGGCTGGCAAGGTTTACCTCGCCTGGGCCAGTTCACTTCAGCGGAGATCCTTCCGTGGGCTGGATCGCGTGTGCGACTGTGATTTCCGGTGTCTGCGTCTGCGCAGACATGCTTTCTGATGTCTCCTTCTCCAGAGACGCAATTTTTGGCCTGGAGGAAGTGAGTCACTGCGTCGGTTTAGTGCAGCTGGCGGGGACTCGGCGAGCGGGTGGCTCGGTTTGGGGGCAGCTCGTGGGCCAGTTAAACGACCCCCCGTGGGCTGCTTGTGACCCATGGACCTTAGGTTGCCTACCCCTGACATAGACAGCATGTTCCACTTTGCAAACTCCAATGAATGAATTGCGACACACAGTCACTTTTTATTAAGTGTCCATTGGGAGATTGAACAAACAGGTGAATTGAGTCATAGACATCCTTGAAGCACAGCATATCTGAAGGAGGAAATATGCCACATTCAGAGTGTTCTTATATAGAGTTAGTCCAATACTTGTAGCCCAGTGTTGCCCACCACAGCGATAAATAATGTGGTGCTTTTCAGATGTCATTGGATTACAATGGAAACACCACCCAGACCAGGAAATCCACTTATCCCTGATAAATGGGGAAATCCTCTGTAGTTGGCACCCAGGAGTGGTTGGTGTGGTGGGCATTGGTCACCTGGCTTCTTAATGCCACATCACTGCCAGCTACCAATAGGAAGGGGCCAGGCAGTGGCGAGCTCAGTGCAGTGGCAGATGCAGCAGTGGAAACATCAGATTGTCAGCGTGGCATATGACTCTGAGCAGTGGTTGCTGGGTAGCAGCAGTGGCGGAATGCTATTGTGCTCATATCCTACTTGTGGGAGTCTAGAGACATCTGGTTGGCTGCTTTGGGAACTGGATTCTGGACTCACTGGGCCTTTGCCCTAATATACCCAGGCTCATAATATGTTCTTCTGTTCTTAGTAGTGAGTGAAATACTGAACTGATCACCATCCCTTTGTAGTTTCATTTTAACTTCTACCTTACAGGTATGAAGAGAAAGTGAACCAACACTGTGCTGCAGAGAACAAATTTGCAGAACTCAAGAAGGTAAGAGGAAGAAGCCATTGGTATAATAATAATAATAATAATAATAATAATAATAATAATAATAATAATTTATTTATACCCTGCCCATCTGGCTGGTTTTCCCCAGCCACTCTGGGCGGCTTCCAACAAAATATTAAAAACACAATAAAACAGGTATAGCCTGCTGAAACATTTCAATTAAAAATAATGAGGTTTTCTCCTCATTTCAGAAATATCTGTTTTAAAAATGAGAAATCTCCCCATTTCATTTTTTTTTAATAACTCAGTTTTCTTTCAAAACAAAAAAAATTCCTTCCAGTAGCACCTTAAAGACCAACTAAGTTAGTTCTTGGTATGAGCTTTCGTGTGCATGCACACTTCTTCAGATACACAGATACATATTCTTCAGATACATACTTCAGTTTTCTTTGTTGCTGTCATCACCACCATCTGACACCCCTCTATCTTGCTTCCTCCCAGCTCAGTAGGCTGGGAGGAATGGAGACCATGGAGACCATGGTTTATGGATTATTGGGGTCCTATCAGGCATCCTTTTTATTATGCATTCATAATGATTTGTACAGTGATACCTCGGGTACCAGTTCGAAAGCACCTCCGGGTGCAAGTAGATAAATAGGGACCGCTTACTAGCGGGAAGGTAAACGGCGTTTCCGTGTGCGGCTCTGGCTCGCCAGATGCAGCTTTGTCATGCTCGCCACATGACCCGGAAGTGTCTCCGGACAGCGCTGGCCCCTGGCCTCTAGAGTGAGATGGGCGCACAACCCTAGAGTCTGTCAAGACTGGCCCGTACGGGCAGGGGTACCTTTACCTTTACCTTACCTCGGGTTAAGTACTTAATTCGTTCTGGAGGTCCGTTCTTAACCTGAAACTGTTCTTAACCTGAAGCACCACTTTAGCTAATGGGGCCTCCTGCTGCCGCCGCGCCACTAGAGCACGATTTCTGTTCTCATCCTGAAGCAAAGTTCTTAACCTGAGGTACTATTTCTGGGTTAGCGGAGTCTGTAACCTGAAGCATATTTAACCTGAAGCATATGTAACCCGAGGTACTACTGTAGTTGTGATACTATTGGGACAATCATCTGTGATTGTGTTTGCAAAATACTCTTTGTACCTGCAAGGGTTTTGGGGTAGTCAAACTGTTTCATTTCCGATCAATGCATACCCTGAAATCATTTGGCAAAATCCCATAACTTTTTAGAATGCAAACATTCTGCTTTAATTCTGTCTTTTATTACATTGTAACCCCTTTGGACAGCAATAATGTGGCAGCACTGGGCCTCAAAGACTCTGTCCGTGCATTTCTGTGCTGTCACGCTTTCCATGTTAGCCATACTGAGAATAGACTCACTGAAATTAATGGACACGACTAACTTAAGTCCATTAATTTAAATAGGTCTACTCTGAGTAAAACAGTGTTGGCTACAGTTCTTGAGCTCCTTGGAGAAAAAGGTCAGACATAAATGCAGTAAGTAAATTAAAAGGAGTTGTGAAATTAGACCAAGGACCTATGTAAGATTGTTAATTCTGGACAGTAGAAATAGCTCAGTCAGTAGAGCATGAGACTCAATCTCAAGGCTGTGGGTTCAAGCCTCATGTTGAGCATAAGTTTCCTGCATTGCAGGGGGTTGGACTAGATGACTCTTGTGGTCCTTTCCAACTCTACAGTCCTATGATTCTATGAAATGGATTTACAATCTATAAAATGTCTCATAAGTCTGTTCATGTAAGCAAACTCTAGACGTTTTTGCCCCCATTCCTTTGAAACCATATGTAAACAGTAGAATATAAATAACAGGGAAATGTCATCCTTGCAGGATAGAGACTGTGTCGCTTTGAACAATGCAGAGCTGGAGAGACAAGTCAGTCTCCTCTCCCAAGAGATCGAGTTCCTGAGATGCATATATCTGAAGGTAAGTAAGGAGACATTCCTTGCAGAGACACTCCATATTATCTCCACTTAGCCTATACATCTCAAGGTGCCTTTCGAATCCTAGTAAGTACAGAAGAAGAAATGGACATGGGGGGGGGAAGCTTCCTGAATCTGATTAGCAATTCTTAAAGCTGGTCTGAAAGGAGCAGACCTGCAAACAGTTGTCCCCACCCTCACATGAAAAGGTGAATCGTATCCAAGTCTAGTCATCATTGAACTTAAGGCAAAAAATAAAATAAAACCCTTAATTACCTTCCTCCTTCACTGGCAGTGAGTCATCATCATTTAGATCACTAATAACTTATTGCCATAATGACACCCAAAATTATATGCCTGAGGTTGCTGCCTCATTCTGCCTAATGATAGGGCCAGCTCTGTAAATTCCAGTGGTTGGTTGACATGTAGTGGGCATCTTTGTCTAACTAGCCTGGATTTGCAAGTGAATTAGGCCTACTTTTAGGTTACAATGAAGATTTCTGAGCAAAGTTATTATGAGATATTAAAATTGTTAAGTCTGTTGCTAAGCAAAAAAAAGTCTCCAAGTAACTTATGGCATTCTTCTCCTTCTTCTTTGGCGATCACTCGTAGCCGAGTAAGATTGTCTTCCATAAACACGGTTTTAACAATGAGTCCGTAAGTGACTGTGGAGGCCAATTCTGGATCCACACGTCCTTCCACAGTGGGGACATTGGTTTCTGGGCAGGAGTTGATCACGGTGTAGATTTGCCAAGCCTGTCTTCCTCTTAGCACATTTCTCCCTTGCGTCCTAAGTTTGAGTGTCTTCAAAGCCCATGACACCTTTGGTAAAAGGCTGTTCTCCAATTGGAGTGCTTGCAGGCCAGTGTTTCCCAGTTGTCAGTCTTTAAACCTCTTTTGTTGACCATCAGCATTACACTTTGCATTTTTAAGTTCATCCACACATGTGTGAATGAGTAACTACAGATTAATTAACCCAAACTCCAACTCAAATGCAATGCTTTGCACTGATGCCAATTCACATGTTCAGCTAAGAGTCACCACAAAGAACTGAGCAAGGAAGTAATGGTACTTCAAGCAATGTGTTTGCCCATGTGAACCAGCTGATATCATTTGTACCTGCATTACAGAGTTGCCTTATTACAACTCTAGCAAAGTTGGCAGAGAGAAGAAGTATTTGAGATAAGGGGTACAGAACGAATGATGATGCCTTTGGGTCAATATCCTTAGGAGGAAGCTCAACTGGACCATCACACCGGAGATTTGGATGTGGTTGTGAAAATGGACAACAGCAGATGTTTAGACATGGACAGCATTATTGCCATCCTCAGGGAAGAGTACAAAGAAATTGTCCAGAGGAGCAAAGCTGAGGCAGATGCCTTCTACCAAAACAAGGTAGGTGCTGAAACAAGGTGGGCGTTGGAGCTTAAACAAAATGTCACAAATTCAAAAAGTGGTCTATTAAAGAAAAAAGGTCTTAATGACACAAGTACTATGCAATCATGATAGGGGGTACTCATTTGCTGAAATATTTCAGGTTGCCCTCATTCTTCTTCACAAATATTTCTCTGGCTGCTTTTGATATCTTCTCAATTTGCAGAATTGTAAGACTGGGGTTCTTTATTTTGTCCATTGACTTGTAGCCGTATAAAGCTATATAAATTGCCAGGAGACCAGTTCAGGTGGATGAGTGTGGCTGGGGTGGGGCAGGGACTCAGAAGGAAGGGCGGGGGGCTATCATTGCCACCCTCCCAGAATCTGCTGCATGAGGTGGCTGTCTCATGCTGCCTGACCTGGTCCTATGCTCTTTGCATCTGATCTCTCTCATTATAGCTGCCCTTGCTAAATAGCCACCATACCCTTGTTTATACCCTTAGTACGAAGAGGCTCAAAGCAAGAGATGCTGCTTCAAGGGAGACCTGAAGAAATACAAGCAGCAGATTTCAGAACTTACAAGGAGGATCGAGAAGCTTCAGTGTGAAATTCAGAGTGTGCAAAAGGAGGTAAGTTTGGTGGTGGACAGGTCAGGCAACCAGATTTCGAAAAATCCAAATTCTGCAACAACAACGAATCCACATAAGATTACACATGCAATACAATTTTGTATAAAGTAGTTTATTATTTCTTAATTGTGTATATTGTACAATCTGAATTTTTGGACAAGGATGCTGGAAAGGCAAAGGCATGAGAGGGTGAGAGTAGTAGCTGTGAGTAGCTTGGTGAATATAGGCAGACTGAGAGTTAGACCAAGCAAAGATCACAACAAGACCACTTCCAACAACTGGAATCTTTTCTCTTTGAGCAAACAGCCGTAAATTTCTTGGTTCTTAGTTTGCATTTCTCCTTATAGACACATTGTTGCATGCAGTTTTGACTAAGTTAATGCACTTCACTCTGTTATTTTCACTAAGGTGTGCTCTTTTATCCACACCTTCCCTGAATATACACATTTTTGCACACATTTTTGAAGGATGGCTGCGTTTCAGCCTGCATATTATTTCAGGAAGTGCCCATTGGGTAGTTTTGCCTTTAATAATAATAATAATATATTTTTATCTCTACCACGCCCTTCCCAGTTCAAAAACCGGGCTCAGGGCGGCTAACAACAAATTTAAAACACTTAATTGTAAAAGCAGCATAAAATACAGTATAAAAACATGAATAACAATATAATTCAAAATGAGAAATGAATCAAATTTCTCCACCATCCCAAGCAGGGACCAGTCCAAACTTCTGATGGGAAAATTAAGCCACTGCACAACCACATCAAATCTGTACACTGAAGGTTTTTTGATCTGGTTATCTGGCACAAGGAAATGGAGGCTAACCTGACCAACTTCTGTAATCGCTGCAGAATGATGAGCTGCAGAAGGCCATCTGTGATGGGACGGACGGTGGCGACTGTGCCCTGAAAGATGCTCAGGAGAAATATGCTGAGTTGGTGGAGGCCCTTCGGAATGGCAAGGACGAACTGGCATGCCTGGTGTGTGACTACCAGGAGCTACTGAACACAAAGCTTGCCCTGGATATTGAGATTGCAGCCTACAAAAGCCTGCTGGAAGGGGAAGAGGAGAGGTGAGCCTGCAAACTGTTGGGAGAGCAATGGCAGTGGAATCACGATGAAAAGTTATGTTAACAGAAAGTTAACTAAGCGTTAATGCAGGTGGCGCTGTGGTCTAAACTACAAAGCCTAGGGCTTGCCGATCAGAAGGTCGGTGGTTCAAATCTCCGCTAGGGGTGAGCTCCCGTTGCTCGGTCCCTGCTCCTGCCAACCTAGCAGTTCGAAAGCACATCAAAGTGCAAGTAGATAAATAGGTACCGCTCTGGTGTGAAGGTAAACGGCGTTTCCATGCGCTGCTCTGGTTCGCCAGAAGCAGCTTAGTTATTCTGGCCACAAGACCTGGAAGCTGTACACCAGCTCCCTCGGCCAGTAAAGTGAGATGAGTGCCGCATCCCCAGAGTCGTCTGCAACTGGACCTAATGGTCAGGGGTCCCTTTACCTTTACCTTTAACTAAAGGTTAATTTGCACTTAGGGATCTCAAAGCAGTAAATGGGTGTAATATTTGGAGTCGTTCGGAGTACAGAGTTTTGGTTGCATCCAGAGAATCTTGGCTGCAAATGGAGTTCATAAAATGAGGGCCCTCAAACTGGTTCTCGGGACTCTCCCCAGGCCATGACCTCCCAGAGGTCCCACCCTCTCTGAGTGCTGAGATGTGTCCTTGAAGCATGATAATGCCTCTTCCATACCTGAATGGAGGGGTGTGTGTGTGTGTGCACAGAAACCTCTGACGTATGCATGGCTGGAATGTAACTTACTTTACTGAATTACTCTGTCCACTTATCCATCTGGCACAACCCACCACTGGTATACACCCCACCTCCAGAAGGGGAATGTACCCTTTGGACTAATAATAATAATAATAATAATAATAATAATAATAATAATAATAATAATTTATTACTTTGACCCCGCCCATCTGGCTGGGCCTCTGCAGCCACTCTGGGTGGCTTCCAACAGGCTATTAAAAACACAATAAAGCATCAAACATTAAAAACTTCCCTAAACAGGGCTGCCTTCAGATGTCTTCTAAATGTCAGTTTATTTCTTCAACATTTGATGGGAGGGTATTCCACAGGGCAGGCCACTACTGAGAAGGTCCTCTGCCTGGTTTCCTGTAACCTCACTTCTCACAGGGAAGGAACCGCCAGGAGGCCCTTGGAGCTGGACCTCAATGTCTGGGTTGAACGATGGGGGTGGAGACACTCCTTCAGGTATACTGGGCCGAGGCTGTTTAGGCCTTTAAAGGTCAGCACGAACACTTTGAATTGTGCTCAGTCCCCCAAACTTGATCTAGGCAATAAACATCTGAAGATGGGATTTGGGGATTATGTGACTGTAATCGGAAGAGAACGTACTATAGTCTTTTATCCTTGCCCACACAGGATGTCCAAAGACTGTGCAAACTCAGTCAGCGTATGTAAGTAGCCTTCCTTGTTCTTTCCTCCTGTTCTTTGCAGATCAGAATCCATGTTTGGTGCCCCAAAGAAGTTTTGGCAATAACCATTCCATGTGTTTCCTTTCCAGCTGTAGCCAATGCCCCATGCTCTTCCCAAAATGTTGCAAAACCAGGAGGTGACTGCTGTCCAAAGGAGGTCGATGCTTGTGGATCCGAAAGCTTAAGAGTTGCGGTGTCTGCTTTCAGAAGCAACCAGAACAGGCATCAAAGGGGAAAGCACTCCACTGGCTACCAAAGGTCAAGCAGAGCAAAGGCTAAGTAAGACTTCACTAAGAATATGGTCAGGTTTAACGTCAATGATTCCATCCGCCATTTCTCAAATAGCAGGAAGGGGAAGCTTACATATCTAGGTTCTTGGTGATGTGGGTTGAGCTGGCTAAAGCAACAAGGGTTGGGCTACAGATACTCAGGGGCACTGTGCACATTATGCAGCAACAAGAAGGGAAGCTACTGGATTCCAAGAAAATACGAATTCCAAGAATTTGGCCGTTCTGCCTCTGACAGAGTAAGTCACATCATAGTGGGGGCACACTGGCATGAAACAGAGTCAGAACTGTCTGTCACGTGTAAGGTATGGGGGAAAATTTTGATTCAGTTCTTATTTATGGCTGAATCTATCAAATTCGGATTTTCCAAAGTAATATGAGAACTGAAACCCAGCCATACTTCAAAATTCCCACTTATCTGAATTTTGCAATGCAGTTTTCCAACCAGTGTACAAAAATGCATATATTAGGAAAAAACTGTGCATATAAATGAACATATCAGTGACAGTTACATACATGTATTATTAGAAGGAATTGCTTGCAAAAATGTGAATGTTGGTCAAAACTGCATACAAAAGTGTGTGGGGGAGAGAGAGAAATTCATCATAAAATTCTGTGAAATTTTGGGTATGATTAAAACATTCACAAATTGCTGCAGAAATGTGGAGAACTGAACTCAAGATTGTAAAAATATGAAACTAAGAGAACTAAAATTGATAGATCCTTCTTTCCCTAGTCACATGTCTGAAAGGTTCCAGGCATGCAATGAACCCCACTATGCATGCGCAGAGACCTCCTCTGCCAATGAGGGCATCATGCCATCCATGTGCTAAGGTTGATAACAATGTGGCCCAATCCCTGTACATGAGCAGTGAGACCCACTGCTTCCCTGTTAGCAGAAAATTAGGATCAAAATGTCTCACCTTGCCCCCAGGATCATGTCCTCTGATTTACTCCACCCCTGGGCATCCACACATATTGCCTGAATAGCTGCAATGAGGGTATTTTCATGTATACAGCTGTACCATGAAGACTCCCTCCATACAGATATCTGTGCTAGGTGTGAGGACGCCATGTTGAGGGCAGATCTTGTCGGTGCAGCCCTACTCCCCAATTCACACATGGGTAGAACATGTAATTGATTCCCCTGAACAGAACTACAGAAAGTGAATAGTGGACAGTGGACATTCATCCACTGAAACTAGGTTTCTAGAGTCCCAGAGAGATTCTGGAACATTATGTGGTGGTCGGGGTGGGGTGGGTTGGGTGGTTGAGAAATGCGTCTCCAGAGTTTTCTCCAGAGCAGAACAATGTAGTGTTGCCTGTTTCTGTTTCCAAGTTAATGTGTTTATCCTCACAGTATAATAGAAAGGAGGGTGCTTTTGCTGATAAGGTGTGGGGAAACCAATGGCTGCCAAACAGGTACAACCCAGATTAAGTTTGGTGCATTAAAATAAACCAACACAACAATTAATAGCTTATGAAAACCAAATCCTCCAAGCCACAATATCTGAATCGGCTCTGCAGAGGAGGAATATATGTCACTACCTCATAAAAGTAGCTTTTTTAGGGCATTGTGATGTAGTAGACAGTTACCCTGGTCCAGGTAGCAGCTGGATAGAGAATCACATGCAACACAGCTGGGACTGCACACAGATAGCCCAGTAATCAAAGATAGAATCTCACAATCAGCTGTTGGAAGGTGGAGCTGGAGAGCCTGGATTCGGTCTCCCATCCTTCCTTTATCCAACAGAAATCTGGTTAGTGAGATGACAGCTTTGTTTAGCGGAATGTGTGTACACAGCTCTGCTTTTTCCCTCTGTGTGTTCTCTGTTGGGCCTGAGTCAGTGTGCGTAATACAGGCTTCACCAGCCCGTTGCCCACCAGATGCTTTGAACTACAACTCCCACCAGGTCCATCTGGGCTGATGGGAGCCATAGTTCCAAACTTCTGGGAGGAAGTCTGGTGTAATATAATGTTGAATGTGTGTAATTTGAACGGCAACAAGGGATTGGAAATTTCAAGCACTAGTACTGTTTTCTGTAAAAGATTCTGTGTATGTACCTGTATGCTTTCTTACTTTGCTCATCGCTGTAGTTTTCTGTATTATAGCCAATAAACTGTCACGGGGGGAATGCACATTTTGTTGTACTTTATTTTTATTTAATGACACGGGTGGTGCTGTGGGTAAAAGCCTCAGTGCCTAGGGCTTGCCGATCGAAAGGTCGGCAGTTCGAATCCCCGCGGCGGGGTGCACTCCCGCTGCTCGGTCCCAGCACCTGCCAACCTAGCAGTTCGAAAGCACCCCTGGGTGCAAGTAGATAAATAGGGACCGCTTACTGGCGGGAAGGTAAACGGTGTTCCGTGTGCTGCGCTGGCTCGCCAGATGCAGCTTTGTCACGCTGGCCACGTGACCCAGAAGTGTCTCCGGACAGCGCTGGCCCCCGGCCTCTTGAGTGAGATGGGCGCACAACCCTAGGGTCTGTCAAGACTGGCCCGTACGGGCAGGGGTACCTTTACCTTTACCTTATTTTTATTTAATACATTTGTGCCTCACTCTGCCTCCTCAGAAATGGTGCAAACAGCATTACTTAATATAGTTATTATTATATTTCTCGTCATCATAAGAACATGAGGAGAGCCTGTTGGATGAGTCCAATGGCCCATGCAAACCAGCATCCTGTTCTCACTGTGATCAGCAGGATGCATGCTGGTCCTCAGGCAGGATCTGGCACAAGGGCACTTTCCCCTTTGGTTTCTAGGAACTCATATTCAGAAACATAACTGCCCCCCCCAGCTATGGAGGCAGAGCAAAGCCATCATGGCTAGTAGCCACCAATAGACCTCAATTCCATGAATTGGTTTAAACCACTTTTAAAGGATCATCATCATTGTCAGTGTGTGTGTGTGTTCATGGATAAATGAATGTGTGTGCACGCACACAACCTGTTTATGCTATCCTTCACTCCAGAGTACAGTAGTTTGCATTTTTATTTTATTTATTTTTAAAAAATCCTATAAAGGTAAAGGTAAAGGGACCCCTGACCATTAGGTCCAGTCGTGACTGACTCTGGAGTTGCGGCACTCATCTCGCTTTATTGGCCAAGGGAGCCGGCGTACAACTTCCAGGTCATGTGGCCAGCATGACTAAGCTGCTTCTGGCAAACCAGAGCAGCGCACGGAAACAGCGTTTACCTTCCCGCCGGAGTGGTACCTATTTATCTACTTGCACTTTGACGTGCTTTCGAACTGCTAGGGTGGCAGGAGCTGGGACCGAGCAACGGGAGCTCACCCCGTCGCGGGGATTCGAACCGCCGACCTTCTGATCGGCAAGTCCTAGGCTCTGTGGTTTAACCCACAGTGCCACCTGCGTCCCTAAAAAATCCTATACATAAGAACAATTTTAACAAATAAATCAGCTGACAGCTAAAAGAATACATTAGCAAGTCTAAAAGCCTGGGCAAATGAGAAGGTTTTTCTGCCTGGCATCTGAAAGTGTGCAATATTGCTTCAAATTAAACCACCTTGGGGAGGTTTTTTAAAAGGCAGGGTGTCACAGGTGAAAAGGCGCGCTCCTTTGCTGCACTGTCACCCACTTCACTTCTGGGAAAGGTGGCACTTTTGGCAGTTTTATTCACCCACGCATTGCATTTATATCCCTTCTTTCTTCCAAGGATCCCAAGGTGCCACACATGGTTTGCCCACCCCACTTTATCCTCACAACAACCCTGTGAGGTAGGTTAGAGCTGGGAGACAGGTATACAGCTGCAAATAAAACGCTTTAAGTGTGTTGTAAAGATGCGGATGGTGCTGTGGTTTAAACCACTGAGCCTAGGGCTTGCTGATCGGAAGGTCGGTGGTTCGAATCCCTGCGACGGGGTGAGTTCCTGTTGCTCGGTCCCTGCTCCTGTCAACCTAGCAGTTCGAAAGCATGTCAAAGTACAAGTAGATAAATAGGTACCACTCCGGCAGGAAGGTAAACGGTGCTTCCGTGAGCTGCTCTGGTTCTCCAGAAGCGGCTTAGTTATGCTGGCCACATGACCTGGAAAAACTGTCTGCGGACAAACGTCAGCTCCCTCGGCCAGTAAAGCCAGATGAGCGCCACAACCTCAGAGTCGTTCGCGACTGTACTTAACTGTCAGGGGTCCTTTACTTTCACTTTTTAAAAGTGCATTATACAAACGTGTCACTAGATGGCGATGGTGAGCTATGGCAAATTCTATATATTTTTCAAAATGTTTTTCAAAAAAGTATTTTCACAACGTTTTTTATATGTGTCTAGATTCCACCAGTGACTGGCCCAAAGTCAGTCTTTGTGGCTTCATAGCTGAGCGGGGATTTGAATCCTGTTCTCCCAGATCCTAGTCCAACACTCTAACCATTACACTAAGGACCGTCTCATCTCATCTTTTAGTAGTGCAGCAGGGTAAGGAGAGAGAGAGAGACTAACCCAAAGCCAGACAGCGAGCTCCAAGGCTGAGCGGGGATTTGATCTAGGGTTTTCCACATCCAAACCTGCCCCATGCCATTCTAGCTGAGACCTGCATCGACTTAAACCCTGAGCTTAACTGCAGCCTTTGTTGTTCTAAAAATGAGCCATAATCTTGCTTCCCACAACTGAGGCTGAGCCAGCCCTGGAAGAGAGTCAGCTGAGGAAATTGTTCAAGCTTCCTAGCCTTCACATTGCACACATACCTCACACGCAACGAGCTGCAGTTTGAAAGCCTGAAGGCAGAATTTCCACCGTTTTGTTGGACCCTGACACACCCTTAATCTCATTATCTTCCTCATGTTTGAGATGCAGTGAGATCACATACATCCACTCTGCAATATTTTCTCTTTCCTGGGAGGTTAGGAAGTGTTTGAAAACTGATCCGCCTCACCCATCGCAGCCTACAGCTCTCCAGGAAAGACTTATGAAGCTTCTCTGACCGAAGGTTCCCCCCAGCTCTGAAACCGGAAATCCTTTTAAAAACAGATGCCAACGACTTAACCT